TCCCTCGCTGCCTTCCATTAGCATGGCTGATGCTAACCTCCAGAAAATTGACTCGTTGCGCGTTCTCAGACTCACGCTCTCTGCTGATATGAAGTGGAATCCATTGCTAGATCAACTGCTAAGAAAGACGGTTCACTATGTCGGGTAAGAAAATTTTCCTCTCCAAAATTTATCTTACATATCTATAAGTCTACCATTTGTCCAAGTTTAGAATATGTATGCTACATATGGTCAAGGGGACCTTTTGCTATTTTACCTTTTGAGCTCCTTTGATAAAATCCAAAGACGAATCAGCAATATTATTGGTCCTGACCACAGCGGCTCACACAGTCACTTTCCCACCGCTCTAAGGTTGTCTCTGTGTCTGTTCTATAAATAGTTTCTGGGTAGTAATTGTATAGATGAGCTTTTCGCTATGGTATCTATCCTTTTGAATTTAAGTTTAGCACTAGACTGTCGTCGAGATCTCATCAATTTACAGTTAAGCTGGCTAGATGTAGCCGTAAATTCTATTCTAGCAGTTTCTTCTCTCGTACTTCTCACTTGTGGGACACCCATCCTTTCCAGCCAAATTTAATCTTCAAAAATTTAAATGTAAAGTCAATTGCTATCAACTGTCCATCTAATTACTCTTTCTCCTTTCTGTTAATCGTTATTGTTTCTATTCCTGATTCTTCCACAATCTGTAACCCTTATATTTCAGTGGCACCACTGGCTTGATTTGGGTGATGCCGATTTAAAAAAAAAATGAATATTTAATATACAAATCAAATACACGTTAATTACAATATATTTACAAGAGCCAGATCAGTTCGAACATGGAGGACTACTGCCCTTTATAGGCAGGGACAGCTTTAGCCTAAGGGAGGTAACTTTAATTCGTATAATTATAATTTTAAACATTTTAAAGAATATTGTTATTATCAACATTTGAAAACATTGTTGCTATATTCATAACTAACCTTATTTAGTATTGGTTGTCGGCTTCTCATTTAGAAGGCCTCAAGAATTTGAAATCTTTGTTTTTTTATTTTCATGTTGGAGTATTCTCTTATTGTCAATTAATATTTTTCTGAAGGTAGACAGAAATGTGTCTTTAAAATATTATATCCGTCATATGTAGTGTAAGGCGCCTTGATAATGCTGTTGTCGTGAAGCTAACAAATATATTTACTTTTTTGTCAGAGATATAATCTCCCAACGGACATTTGATTTAATATATAATGTTGGTCTTTTATAAAACTTTAGTTGACGAAGGAAAGTTATTGCGGATGATTAAGTTGATTGTATTAAATTTAGTATAGTATGTACTTGGTTTTATTTTTTTTTACTGGAATCAGTGGTGAATATATTAGTACTTATGAAATCTTTTTTTTATGATTCTTTAGTATTTTTTAATCTTATTGGTAGTTAGAATATATTTAATTGCGGTAGAGTAATTGATATGTTAAGGGTTATTTGAGGAAGTATTATCTTATTTTTTGACTATATATATATATATATATATATATATATATATATATATATATATATATATATATATATATATAAAGGAAAACTTAGCTGACGCTAATCTTGGATATTTGCTTAGATAAATTTCTTCAGAGGACCAAACGCGTCTCGTAAGATAAATTTACGATTTTAGTATTGTTCTTTCATATATATTTTATCTTAAATTTTACACACACACACAATATATATATATATATGAAGAAATATACTCTTAAGATGTGCTATATTTATGGGATAAAGTGTTCAATATCAGAGAGCGTGTGTAAATATAAAAGTGAACATTAAAGTCAACACTCAGAGGCGACAGTCTTTTTAATGCTAGACGCAATCGTCAGGCGTGAAACAGCCTGTCGCCTGTAAGTGTTGACTTCAATGTTCACTATATATATATATATATATATATATATATATATATATATATATATATATTGTCATCCACAGACAGACTGTTTCGCTGTATCACAGCTCATCATTATGGCTAGACGTCCGGTTTCCTCAAGCTAGGATCGAAACCCGACTGAATTGGCGTCAGTCGGGGGATTCAGCCACTAAGCCGTTGGCGCACGGCAGGGATGAAGGTGAATTTAAGCGTATTTAATTTTTAGATAAACACACAGTGACTGAGAGAACTCAATTCGATTTACTGAAGTGTCATGCATTATTAGCCGTAACTGTCACTGTTTACAAACCCACACTTCCTCACCAGAGATCTCAACTGAAATAAATTTTTCAGGAGCATATATATTGTCATGCACAGACAGGCTGTTTCTGTGTGTGTGTGTATAAAACTGTATAACTTGAAACATAAAATACCCATATCATTTCGCAAATACCCTTTATAGTTTGCATTATAATTACAGAGATCGACATTTGGAGTCATTGTCGAAAGAAAAAAAAACTTTATCTAGAAATCGGTGGCCTTTTAATATATTTTGTTTGCTTTATTTCACATGTAAATAAATCAAAAGGGGAGGCAACTCGGGGAAGGATGAATTCGAGCAGCCTTTCTTTTATAACAACCGCGTTCTTTCTATGTAGCGAAAATCGTTCCGTCATAAGCGTTCTGGCCGTGTAATTTAAGCTGTGCGTCAGGAGGTTCGCTTAACTAATGCGCGGTTTCACACATGGTTATTTGTCAATCCGGTTAACAGAAATAGTGAGAAGCTGTAATAATTAGGATTAGGGTCGATAGTTATCAATCTATATTGGGTGGGGCTCAGACCCCCCCCTCAAAAAAAACTACTATCTATGTCTATTCATATCAATCTATCTATCTCTGTTCATAACTATCTAGATATCTATGCCTGTTCATATCTATGTTCATATCTGTCTATCTATGTATCTATCTTCATATCTATCTTCATATCTATCTATCTATATTTCTATGCCTGTTCATATCTTCCCTCGTCTCAGAATGGATTCTTTCTGGAATGGAGAATTTTATACCCCACAAAAATTCTAGCAAAAATCCAATAGCCAGGCCTGGTTCACCATTACATGTGCGGCAGCCATAGTTCACAGTAACCAAAATTATTGCCCTCGTCTCAGAATGGATTTAACTATCTATGCATGTTCATATCTATCTATCTATCTATCTGTTCATATCTATCTATTTTTTGTGATGTCAATGAACATTTGCCACTTTTGTAATCTGAACGAATACTCGTTGTCACTTTCATAGTGTCAGACGCCTTCGAATATCACTCGCACTAATAGTACTTGCTTGATAGTACTCGCTCAAAAAGTAACCACGGAACAGTAATCCGTATAGTAATAGGGAAATAGTATTGTGAATAGTATAGAGATAGAGGATAGTGTAGAAAGAGTGATCCGTATAGTAATAGAGGATAGTATTTAAGAGTGATCAATCAGATGCCATGCAAATTCCTATATATACATTTCATTGGTCATCACCTGATCTACTTATTCAAAATGTAATTGCCCGTATTTGATCACTAGCGATGTATGTTCAAACTATAGTGTCGGTAGCAACACTTTACTCCTATACAACACTGTCACTGTTCATATCTACCTATCTATCTCTGTCTCTGGTCATATCCGTCTTTCTATCTATCTATGGTCATATCCGTCTTTCTATCTATCTATCTATCTATCTATCTATGGCCATATCCGTCTTTCTATCTATCTATCTATGGACATATCCGTATTTCTATCTATCTATGGTCATATCCGTCTTTCTATCTATCTATGGTCATATCCGTCTTTCTATCTATCTATGGTCATATCCGTCTTTCTATCTATCTATCTATTTATCTATGGCCATATCCGTCTTTCTATCTATCTATCTATCTATCTGTGGACATATCCGTATTTCTATCTATGGTCATATCCGTCTTTCTATCTATCTATCTGTCTATCTATGCCTGTTCATATCTTCCCTCGTCTCAGAATGGCTCCTTTCTGGAATGGAGAATGTTATACCCCTCAAACATTTCTAGTAAAAATCGATTAGCCATCCTGATTCGCCATTAAATGTGCTGCAGCGGTAGTTCACCATAACCACGACTTCAGTATTTATCCCAAGGAGCGGGTGTAGTTTGACTTTTAGTGCATTCAGGACAGTTTGCATTTTTTTAAAAGCATTTCACCCCAAGCAAGGCGGGAGTGCCACTAGCATGCAAGGGGTTATAGAGAGTGAAAGTAAAAGTAAAGAGGGATGCTTGAGAAAAGGATAAAGAGAAGGATCATGATCAAGGCATCAGAAGATGTCGATTGACATTACATTTATATTTTTGAAGATAATAGTTAACAGGGAAGCAAGTAAGAGGAAGGGAATTCCACTGTCAGGAAGTGCGAGAGAATCTGTTGCAGTAAACTAGGCGGTTAAATCTAACGGTTTCCACAGTAAACGGGTTTTACCTAGATGCCAAACTAGTAGCACGCTTAAATTCATGCAGTTAGAGTGCCAGTGAAAATAACCCGTCAGAGCAATTGCCAGGAAAATATTTGTAGAAAAGACAGAGGGAAGCCGCATCACGTCTGTGAGAAAGTGACTGGAGCCGAGATGCCAGGTCAGAACCTATCACATCAAAATGTATCTATGCACAAGCGGCCAAAGCTAAGGCCACACTGGATCCCAAGAAATTTGTAAGATCACCAACCAAATTATGAATAGAGGCAAAGTGGCTTTGCCCATTATTAAAAATGGTCCCGATGTCATATCTTCGTCGACAAATAAGGCGATTTTTTCGCCTCAATCTTTGCCTCCAATTCAACATTAGAAGGCTTTGAATATAATACTCTAAACTTTCCTGTTCATATCTATGTATGCCTTTTCCCCCTCTCTCTCTCTATATATATATATATATATATATATATATATATATAAATATATCTTTTCGTATCTATATATATATATATATATATATATATATATATATATATATATATATAGAGAGAGAGAGAGAGAGAGAGAGAGATCTTTTCCTATGTATCTATATATGTATGTATGTATGCCTTTTCTTATCTATCAATCTATGTTCATGTCTATCTATGCATATTCATAGATAGACATGCCTTTTCCTATCTATATAGTATGTATGTATTTCTATTCTTATCTATCTATCTATGCATGTTCATATCTATCTTTCTATCGGAGTTCTTTGGTAGACAGGATAGCAATGAATTCTTTATCTTCCTTAAAACATTCATACCCTGTAGCAGAGGATATACGTGTCTGTCTATCTATCTATCTATCTATTCCTGTTCATATCTATTAGATTTTGATGAATATCGTTTAAATATATTAAACTTACATCTGTTCTTCGACAATTTCTGGTAAAACGAAATTACTTTACGAACGCCCTGTCTTTACTGGAATCAGATATTTAAAGACATGAATAAATTTCAAATGAGTACGTCTTCTTAAATAATCTACATTTAACAGAAATATTTCATATATACTAAATATAAGTGTATTTCTGATTTGCGGTTCAATGTGATTCATGCTTGGAACTTCCATGTCCGCCAGGAATCTTTGATGTAAGAGGAATTGAACTGTGGTGGTTGGAGTACTTATTTGGTTCAACCAAAAAGATCCCAAAATAAGCTTTGTACTCGGAGTCACTCCAGAACGTTAAAACAGCAAGATTCACTGAGATGGGGCTGTCATAGCTGAAAAAGTGCATAATCTAGACTCAAAGAATGTCGGAATGGCAGTGTGTGCGCCGATAGAAATAAGGAGTGAACCTAGCTAAATGTAGGATGTATCCTCGTAAAAACAACAAAACGAATCAAAGGACAAGGATTTATATAAAGGTGTGGTCAACCTGGAAAGAGGACGCGTTTCCCCCCCCAAAAAAACTTCAGAAGATCGAATGTTCGAAGAAAGACCCGAACACCACATAACCTCCACAGCAGGCTTTAATTTGACGGAATTCAAAAGTGAACAATGTTTTGTCATTATGAAAAATTTAATATCGTCTTCTAGTTACTAGTATAACATTACAAAATGAACACTCGTAGATTTTAAGATTTTAAATAATAAATGAGCTATTATATATTTTTAAAAAATAATGTTTAGTTATACGTTATAAATAAATTCAAATTTTATTCGATCTAGTTCTCCTGCCGTCAAGTAAAATAATTTTACATTTTTCTCCAAGAACTGATGCAGTTTTAAATACATAATAAAAATGTCGTTTGTTATGAGGAATTTGTTTGGAGTTAGTACAATTATATCTGATAAACTAGTTCTATGATATAGCAACAACTGAATCAGGATATTTGAAAAAATAGTGATTTTCCAAGCGTAGCTTAGGTGTGGCACAAGGCTGAAAGTATGGGGCACCCAGTGAGCATCGAACTCACTATTCCGTCTTATCTGGTCTAGCGAGACAAGCTTGCTAATCATTACATCACGTGGAAGTGCCCTAAACAATTTTCTAAGCATAGCTTAGGTGTAGCACAAGGCCGAAAGTATGGGACACCCAGTGAGGATCGAACTCACTCTTCAGTCGTAATTGATTTAGCGAGACAAAATTGCTAACCATTACATCTCGTCGAAATGCTTACTGATGATTTTCTAAGTATATCTTAGATGTGGCACAAGGCCTAAAATATGGTGCACCCAGTGAGGATCGAACTCACTATTCGGGAGTAATTGATCTCGCGAGACAAACTTGCTAACCATTACACCACGTCGAAGTGCCCAAAATGATTTTCTAAGCGTATCTTAGATGTGGTACAAGGCCGAAAGTCTGGTGCACCCAGTGGGAATCGAACTCACTATTCAGGAGTAATTGATCTAGCGAGACAAACTTGTTAACCATTACACCTCCCCGTCAAAATGTCAAAAATGTGTCAAGCTGAATAGTGGCCATTAACAAAGAATGACAAAGAAAAATGCCATCCGAATAGATAAGTACACTCATCAACTTTTGTATTCATATACAAATCTCCACATAATAACAGTAGTTGATAGCGATAGAGGTTAACCTGTTCCTAACATTTGACTGTGATTGGTATTCTTTGAATATTAGTCCAAGCCCTAGGGAACTTTTCTCCAAGTAGCATCTCTTCCTTGGGAGGGGGCTGGGTTTATTACCTAGTGTTTGAGGCGACCCCAAAAGAAGCGCCGAGAGGGCTTAGGATTTTTTGCCCTGTATGAGAGGAGGATATCTTTGATAACAAAGAAAAGAATACTGAACCAATACGTGACATCTGTTCTTCTCTACGGCAGCTAATGTTGGATGATTTCCTTAAAGATGAAGAAGAGACTCGAGGCAACGGAGGTATGGTTCTACAGAAGGATGCTAAGGATATCAAGGACCGAGCGTGTGAGCAACGATGTGGTCTTAGAGAGGATGCAAACAAGGAGGAGGCTTATACTTAACATCAGGAAGAGGCAGCTGAAGTTCCTGGGACACATAATGAGGAAGGAGAGCCTGGAGAATCTGATACTCACAGGTCGAATAGCGGGAAAGACAGACAAGGGAAAACAGCATGTGACATACCTAGTGGGCAGCGAATGTTGGACAATTGCCTCAAAGATGACGAAGAGACTCGAGGCGACAGAGATGTGGTTCTATAGAATGATGCTAAGGATATCAGGGACCGAGCGTATGAGCAACGATGAGATCTTAGAGAGGTTGCAAACAAGGAGGAGGCTTATACTTAGCATCAGAAAGAGTTAACTGAAGTTTCTAGCTGTCCCATTTGCTAACAACCATAAACTGTCTTCTTGAAATTGATGGTTAGTCCTTTCTTCTGGCTTTCCTTTACTACCTTTTTCAGGAGTTCTTGTAGATTACTTTCTGTGTCTGATATAAACACAGTGCCTTCTGCATATCTTTAGTTTGTAGCCAGCAGTAATCAATTCTAGTAAGACTTCTAATTATCTCAGAATCGCCTTACTGTATGAGTTGAATAATCCGGGGAGACGGCACATCGTTGTCGACATACGGGTAGAAAATGGTTTTATTAAATGGGTCCTTCTAAGCGTAAACTGCAAGAAGACAGAATGTATGGCCATCAGCAAGAGAATGCGCCCGAAATGCGATTTGCATGTCGGGAACACTAAAATCAAGCAGACGCAGAAGTTTAAATATATCTGGGAAGCGTCTTGACAGAGGACGGTAAGTGCGACACTAAGATCCGTAGACATATTGGGATGGTCAAGGATACATTCCAAAGGCTGTGCAGAGCATTGCTAGACAGGAGGATTTCTTTGGCAACAAAGAAATGAATACTGAGCTGTTATGTGACATCTGTCCTTCTTTACGGCAGCGAATGTTGGACGGTCTCCTCAAAGATGAAGAAGAGACTCGAGGCAGCGGAGATGTGGTTCTATAGAAGGATGCTAAAGATAAAAGGATCGAGCGTCTGAGCAACAATGAGAACTTAGAGAGGTTGCAAACCAGGAGGAGACCAATACTTAATATGAGGAAGAGGCAGCTGAAGTTTCTGGGACACATAATGAGGAAAGAGGGCCTGAAGAATCTGATACTCACAGGTTGAATAGATTGAAAGAGAGACAAGGGAAAAAAACGCGTGGCATTCCTGGCGGAAGTGGATGACAGAACGTGGTCTGGGGGAGGAAGCAGAGGGAAGGAATTTGTTGAGAGCTGCAAGGGATAGAGGGAGGTGGAGAGACATGATCGCCTACGTCCTGAAAGGACATGGCACATAAAAAGGAAGAAAGATGGCTGTTAAACTCACTTTAAACCTTGACCTTGTGTCACATCCGGTTGAGATATGGGCGTCCTGGTAAATACCACTAAACGTAACCTTGAAGATGAAAATACTAAAGAATTAGTAGTAAATATATTTAACTAATTATAGTTTACAACACCAAACATTACTGATCATGAGGAAGAATGAGTAGCGTTTATCAAAGAAATAATATTCCATGATAGTAGCGTTTATTATGATAAATTATAAGAACATATAATGAAAATTCTGGTTGGCATTACGAACATCCTTCATAAATTCCGTTACCGAAAACATCTCGCTATCAGAGAAGCCTTCTTCATAAAAACATCTGTCACCATGTATTAATCTATATTTTATTTAATAACGGAAACAATTTGCTGAAGGTTTTCTTTTAAATTGAAAAACAGCAACTTTAATTCCAATCACGTTCCATTCGCGCGGCTCGCAATAAAAGATAATATAATTCAATATGCATCACACAATTACATCTTAAAAGACAACCGTGTAAAGAGTTTGATAACAATAAACAAGAAATCAATCGAAAATGGCAAAAAAAAAAGAAAAAAAAAATGTCCGAATGCGTTCGTGACAATTGATACTACGAACAATTTTAAACTCTCTTACACACACCAAAGATACAAATTTAAGAGTACTAGAAAAACTCAATAACAAAGAAAAAAAAATTAAATTTTCCTTGTCTGTAATATTTAATGAAACATGTTTGAAAGAAAGGTTGCTACCGAAATATACATTATTTAAAAGAAATAATATAAACCAAAATATGACTGAAAAATGGTTTGAGCAAATCGTCGAAAGTAATTTGGGCCCATGGGAGGAACGTCTTATTAAAAGCCCATTGTTCTTGTTTTAGCATACCTACGGATTCACATAAATACATTAGTGAATACTGTATGTTGGTCTCCAGTTGGAGATTCGTCTCCAGCTGTGCTGGTCAAATACTCTGCCAGTGAGGATCCTCAGACGAAGGGCCGAGTCTCGTCTTATGAAACAGCTACTCGACTCCGTTTTATAAGGGGTCTATGGGGATTTTTTGGCCGAGCCTATGGGCTTGGATATCCCACATTAAATTCGGCCTTGTTTCACATCTGACCGCGTGGGGCGGTTGGTAGATATCCAGCAGTTGGAGATTCGTCTCCGGCTGTTCTGGTCAAACACTCTGTCTCCTGGCAGTGAGGATTCTCAGACGAGGCTATGTCGAAGGGCAGAGTCTCGTCTCAGGAAACAGCTACCCGACCCCGATTTATAGGGTGTCTACGGGGAATTTTTGGCCTAGCCTACGTGCTCGGATATCTCACATTAAATTCGGCCTTGTGCCACATCTGACCGCGTGGGGCGTTGGCAGATTTCAAGCCGTTGGAGATTCACTGTGGAATTCACTTGATTCACTTCTAGCAGTTGACTACTACTTCTACGCGCCGCTGGCGAATCTTATATATGTTGTTTGTGTCCTAAGTATTTTCGTTCATTAACAACTTTTGTGTGATTATTATACTTAGTAACCTTCTCTAAGTTAAAACAGTTCTCTTAAAGAGAAGGTGATAATCTC